CTCCTGGTTGAACATCCAGATTCAGCCACAGTTTCGTTCCATACAGCATTAACCTTGTGAACTCTCAAGCTTCCTCCTTCCGTTACGTATTCAAGATGGACAGTGAACAATATTTATATGTTACTTATATGTGAGGGTGTAGGTCTATACATATGTTGTATATGTTGTTGTTGTTGTTAGTTGCGAAGTCGTGTCCGACCCATCGCGACCCCATGGACCACGTTCCTCCAGGCCTTCCTGTCCTCTACCATCTTCTGGAGTCCATTGAAGCTCAGGCCTACTGCTTCAGTGACTCCATCCAGCCACCTCCTTCTCTGTCGTCCCCTTCTTCTCTTGCCCTCCATCTTTCCCAGCATCAGGCTCTTCTCCAGGGAGTCCTTCCTTCTCATTAGGTGGCCAAAGTACTTGAGTTTCAACTTCAGGATCTGGCCTTCTAAAGAGCAGTCGGGGTTGATCTCCTTTAGGACTGACCGGTTGGATCTCCTTGCAGTCCAGGGGACTCGCAGGAGTCTTCTCCAGCACCAGAGTTCAAAGGCCTCAATTCTTTGGCGTTCAACCTTTCTTATGGTCCAACTTTCATGGCCATACATTGCAACTGGGAAAACCATGGCCTTGACTATGTGCACTTTTGTTGGCAGGGTGATGTCTCTGCTTTTGAGTATGCTGTCTAGATTTGCCATAGCTTTCCTCCCCAGGAGCAAGCATCTTTTAATTTCTTGGCCGCGGTCCCCGTCTGCGGTGATCTTGGAGCCCAGGAAGATAAAATCTGTCACTACCTCCATTTCTTCCCCATCTATTTGCCAATGTTGTATATAGTATGTTTTAAATGTGTGTTATGTAGGTGTACCCTTGGAGAGGAAGCAACTAAATTTCATTTTTAATGTGGGCCATTGTGCCCACAGGGAAAAATAATGACAATAAAGGTTATCTAATCTAATCTAAAACAAAGCAATCGAAACCATCACGACGGCATCGCAATTTGAAAAAGCTCTCTCTTTCTCCCACCCACCCACCATCTGCCAAAACCTTCCGAAGCTTGATTGGAAAAAAAAAAAGCAAATTTATTTATTAGAAGTCAATCTGCTTCCGGACCATATGGGGGAGTTTTGTCTGATACAACATCCTCCAGATTTGTCATTATAACACTAGCCAATCAGTTGAGTATTGGGATCCATCCCAGCTAGGACTGGGAAGGGACTTTGGAGGTCATCTAGTCCAACCCCGTGCCCAAGGCAGGCGTCCTGATACCATCCTTGACAAACGGTTGTCCAATCATTTCTTGAAGATCTCCGGTGATGGAGCACCCAGAACTTCTGGTGGCAAGCTGTTACACTGGTTAATTGTCCTCACTGTTAGGAAGTTCCCTCTTAATTCCAGGTTGCTTTTCTCCTTGATTAGTTTCCGTCCGTCGCTTCTTCTCCTGCCTTCTGGTGCTTTGGGAAATAAGTTGACCCCCTTCTCTTCTTTGGGGCAGCCCCTCAAATATGGGAACACTGCTATCATGTCCTTCTTTTCATTAAACTAGACACACACACAGTTCCCGCCAGCGTTCGTCGTATGTTTTAGCCTTCCGTCATACAATTTAGCATGCATATAATACACGGAAGGACCATATCATATGAAAGGACATCATATTATATCTCAGACATAACGATAGTGGGCGATGGACACGAGGAACGGGAACAACAAACAGGAGCAGTATTTATAATTAGGTGATTTATAATAAATCAGCCAGTGAGTTTGGCTATCTGTCAGGTGCTTTAAAAAGAAATGTTTCATCTATAGAATGATAAGTAAGTAAATAAAATATTTCATGAGACTGAACCAATCAACAGGAAAATAAATAAATATTGTGGTTGACAATATGTAGACGCCTGTGCGCAATCACCAGCCATGCAAATTTGACTCAATTGAAGGGTGTTTTTGCTTCGGCTGGAAAAATAATAATAGAATAACGGAGTTGGACTAACAGACCTGGCTTTCATTCTTTAATTGCTTTAATTCCTAACAGAAAATTCTGAATACTGACCCGCCCCCCCTCCCAAGAATTAATCACTCTTTGAGGTTTCTTTTGTAGGCGTTCCCTCCCAAGATGAATCAAATCACATCCCGTGTTTTGTGTTCATCTGTTGGAAAAAAAAAAAGGACACACGTTCGCCTGGAGATATCCTTTAAAATATGTATTTTGAATGTGTTTTATTTTATTTTATTTTTTTTAAATTGTCTTTAAATGCCTTTGCTCCCAAACGATCCACTTTTACATAGAACAAGGCAGACTTGTTGCTGTAAATAATCGATCTCATTTATGATGACATATTCTTGTGAATAATAAACAAATACATGTGTAAATAAATATAACTTTCGGATTTGTAATGGATGGAAACTAATCAAGGAGAGAAGCAACCTGGAACTGAAGAGAAATTCCCTGACAGTGAGGACAACTAACCGGTGGAACAACCTGCCTCCAGAAGTTGTGAGTGCTCCAACACTGGAGGTTTTTAAGAAGAGACTGGACAGCCATTTTTCCAGAATGGTATAAAGTCTCCTGTTTGAGCAGGAGGGTGGACTAGATGACCTCCAGCCCTATGATTCGATGCTTAGAATAGAACACAACAGAATAGAATAACAGACTTGGAAGGGACTGTTGAAGGAAAAGTCTTCATCGTGGTTCAGTCCAAGCCGGGAATAAACAACATGGTGACTGCTTTAGAAAGAAGGTTGCAGTTTATTGAAGAGGAGAGCCAGATGGAAAGATGGCTCTGGAAGAAAAGGACCTTGGAGGTCATCTAGTCCAACCCCTTTCTCAGGCAGAAAACCCTATACCATTTCAGACAAATGGTTGTCCAATCTCTTCTTAAAAATTTCCAGTGTTGGAGCATTCACAACTTCTGGAGGCAGGTCGTTCCACTGTCAGGGAATTCTTTGTTCTAAGTTGCTTCTCTCCTTGATTGATGTTCTATGACAGGGCTCTTCAAATTTGGCCCTTTGATGACTTGTTGGACTTCAACTCCCAGAATTCCTCAGCCAGGCATGCTGGCTGAGGAATTCTGGGAGTAGAGGTCCACTCCTCTTAAAGTCTATATCAGGGGTCTTCAAACTTGGCCCTTTTATGACTCGTGGACTTCAACTCCCAGAATTCCTGAGCCAGCATGGCTCAGCTTGGAAACCTCTCCCTTTCCCCTCAGCGTGGCTGGCTCAGGAATTCTGGGAGTTGAAGTCCACAAGTCATAAAAGGGCCAAGTTTGAAGACCCCCTGTTCTATGAGCTGTGTTATTCTGGCTCCTTGCAACCAACAGCTGCATTTGTTCAACAAAAAAGTTGCAAAACCAAGCTCCTTCACTTGGCAAGCTGCTTTACAACCATCACAACTTAACTACCACAATTGTCAGGCTCAATTATGACCATCAATTGAGGCCTACCTGACACACACACACACACAGACAAATATGTCCGTGTATGTAAAACCTAGCAATTGCCACTAGATGGCACCAGAATCAAAGACTGTAAAGGACATCACCGTATCATTGCAATCTTTCATTTAGAGTAGGGGTCCCCAACCTACGGGGCCACAGCCCACTACCGGGCCGTGGCCTACTGGCCACCGGGCCACAGAACAGGCTGGCTAGAGTGTGCATGTGTGCGCGCACAATCACCCCCACTCGCGCTAGTGCCGCGGCGAAAACGGGGCATCGCACGGCGAAAACATGGGATGCTAGCGCCCGCACGGCGAAAACAAGGCAGGGCTAGCGAGTGTCATGCGGGCGCTAGCGTCGCCCTGCTTGTGTCGTGCGTGTGCTCGTGGCCCTGTGCGTGTGCTCGTGGCCGAAAAAGGTTGGGGACTTCTGATTTAGAGAGCCACAGTTAGGGCTGGCTTTAAGCTGAGCTTTTCAGTCTGCGAAGCGAGGGGTGCACCTGTCTCCTATTATGGGATGCTGCTGTATAGGTAGACGTCACCCCCCTCGCTTTGTTTAGTGACCATTTGAAGTGACAACGGTGCTGAAAAAAGTGACCTAGGACCATTTTTCACACTTATGACCGTTGCACCCTCCCCGTGGTCACGTGATCAAAAGTAGGGTGCTTGGCAACCGATTCATACTTATGACCGTTGCTGTGTCCCAAGGTCATGTGATCCGCTTTTGTAAATTTCTGACAAGTAAAATCAATGGGGGAAGCCAGATTCACTTAACAACCGTGTTCCTAGCTTTGCAACTGCAGTGATTCACTTAACATGACGGTGGCAAGGAAGGTCCTAAAATGGGGCAAAATTCACTTAACCGCGGTCTTGCTTAGCGACAGATCTTTGGAGCTCGATTGCGGTCATAACTTGAGGACTACCTGGAACTAGCTTTTCAAGCCAGCTGGGAAGGGAGTGGAGGAGGGAAGCACATGGGCAGGCTGCCATCCAACAGGCAGAGTTCCTTCGCCTTCGTCCTTTTCTGTTCTTTTTCAGAAGCAGGTTCTAAAACCAAACACCCGCTCACCAAATGGGTGTTTTTTAAAAATTGTTTTAATTAAACACTAGTCTCATTTTGTATGGCTGCTTGGGACTCAAATTGAGGTCGTACATTGAGGACTATCTGTATGGAGGTAAAGTCTGTGGGATCGTAGGATTCTGGGGAAAAAAAATCAGAATGGAGAAGATTGACGGGTGATGGGTGGAAGAGGCCATTCTGCTCCTCTTGGTCCTCTCCCTCCCCTTCCCCAGTATCCCTTTGCACACTTCCAATCGGTCTCTGGCCAATCAGTTGCGTTCCTCGGGCTTTTCAACAAACCGAGATAACAGCCGCTTAGACAAACAGCTATTTGTGTCTGCCAGTAACTCAGCAAAGGTGGGGTGGATAGACAGGCAGAGCTTATTTAAAAATTGATCTCCGGAGCTGAACGGAGAAAACCCTCCTGGACAGGTGAAGTGAGAAGAAAAGGAGACGTATCTAAGCTCTCACAATCTCTGGAGCCAAAGGAGGAGAACATCTGGACAGGGCAAACGCAGATGGACCACCATGGCCTCCAACTTCATGTTCATCACGTCCATCCTGATCTACGTCTCTTCCTTCGTTGGCATGATCGGCAACCTCATCGTCCTCTTCGCCTTCCTGGCCCACGCCATCCGCCACAAAGCCCTCCAACCTCTGGACCGCATCATTGTCAACATGGGCTTGGTGAACTTCTTCCTCTGCTGCTACAAAGCCATTCCCGGGATGCTGGTCTTCAGCAGCACCAGGGTCTTTGGGGAGGAGGGTTGCAGGGTCCTCCTCTACAGCTACCACACCCTCAGGCTGATCAGCATCTGGTCGGTGGAGAACCTGAGCTTCCTCCACCTCATCAAGATCCGAAGGCCCAACTGTCGATGGACGATGTTCATCCACAGGCATCAGGCACGTTACGTCAACGGCACCATCGTCGGGTGTTGGGTGGTCAGTGTCCTCATGCATATCCCTTATTTGCAGTACGATAAGACCAGACTTCAACGAAATAAGACAATTGCCTTCTTGGCCAGTTCGACTTGCTTGAGATCCACAGACAGCTTCTACATTAAATTTAGCACGTACGCCTCCATCAGCCTGGACACGGTCCTCATCCTGCTGGTCGTCACCCTCAACGGTTTCATCATAGATCTTCTCTGGAAGAATCACAGGAGGATCAACGCTTCGTCCTCCATCGCAGGAAGTGGGTGGAATAAACATACGGCCCAGGCCACCAAAATCCTGCTTTCCTTGCTGTCTATTTACGTGGTTTGCTGGATCTCGAACGACGTGGTCTGGCTCATGATCGTCTTGGGGTACCAGAGGAACAACTTGGAGAACAGCTTTTTGAGTGCCTTGTACGGCATGATCTCCTCCATATATTATTCTGCTAGCTCGTACGTGGTGGTGTTTGGGTACAAGAAGGTACGTGAATATCTCGCCGAAACCTGCTTGTTCTTGAGATGTAGGAGGACCACAAGGGTTGGAGCTGTCTCCTTGGAGGGTACGCTGGCCAGATGACGGAGAAGCTCTCATCAAAGAGGACAGCTCAATACTGTCGATCATAATTTTGGCCCTGGGTGGAGAAAGCTACAACATAGAAGAAACTGGACGAGTTCTGAAGATGGTGTAGCCTCTAAACCTCGTTTCGACTTCTGGAACCATGTTCCTGGTGGTTGCATCTGGTGTCTACACGGACGACAAATTTCAGGAAGGAGAACGGTAGCCAGATAGACATGGTTGGGAAGGAGGAACTGCAGCTTTGGGCTCTGCGTTCAGCTCTCGAAAATTATGGGACCTCAACTTCCATTTGAAGAGATATCTCAGCTTGAAAAGGACAGCTTTCCAACCAGGTAGTTAATACGATGATGGGTTTTATAGAGGGAGAAACGGAGGCCCTGACAAGGGAGGCAGGGGTTTTAAAATGCCCACATGGAGGCTTATCTTCACATGCTCCATGGCTTTTTTGATCTACAGAAAAGGAGAAGGAAGGGGAAAGTAAGAACCAATGGGGACTCTGAGGAACTGGGAGGGAGGGACGGAGGGAGGGGATGCTGCAATGGTCATAAGTGTGAAAAACGGCCGTGGCTAAATGAAGTGTTGTAAGTCCAGGACTAACTGTAATCCCCTCTTTATTTTACAGTAGATTTCTTTTATTGGAATTTTTTGCAAAGTTTTAATGTCATTCCGTGTGCTCCCGTATAATGACCCGTACTCGATTAATCAAACATTTCTGGAAAAATCTCAGAATGGAGAAGATTGACGGGTGATGGGTGGAAGAGGCCATTCTGCTCCTCTTGGCCCTCTCCCTCCCCTTCCCCAGTATCCCTTTGCACACTTCCAATCTGTCTCTGGCCAATCAGTTGTGTCCCTCTGTCTTTTCAACAAACCGAGATAACAGCCGCTTAGACAAACAGCAGAGTAATTGTGGCTGCGAGTGGATAGACAGGCAGAGCTTATTAAAAGTTGATCTGTGGAGCTGAACGGAGAAAACTCTCCTGGATGGGTGAAGTGAGACAAAAAGGAGACGTATCTAAGCTCTCACAATTTCTGGAGTCAAAGGAGGAGAACATCTGGATAGGGTGGGTGTGAAGGCAAACGCAGATGGACCATCATGGCCTCCAACTTCATGTTCATCACGTCCATCCTGATCTACGTCTCTTCCTTCGTTGGCATGATCGGCAACCTCATCGTCCTCTTCGCTTTCCTGACCCACGCCATCCGCCACAAAGCCCTCCAACCCCTGGACCGCATCATTGTCAACATGGGCCTGGTGAACTTCTTCCTATGCTGCTACAAAGCCATTCCCGTGATGCTGGTCTTCAACAGCACCAGCGTCTTTGGGGAGGAGGGCTGCAGGGTCCTCCTCTACAGCTACCACACCCTCAGGCTGATCAGCATCTGGTCGGTGGAGAACCTGAGCTTCCTCCACCTCATCAAGATCCGAAGGCCCAACTGCCGATGGATGACCTTCATCCACAGGCATCAGGCACGCTACGTCAATGGCACCATCGTCGGGTGTTGGGTGGTCAGTGTCCTCCTGCCAATCCCTTATTTGCAGTACGAGAAGACTGGAGATCAAAAAAATAAGACAATTGCCTTCTTGGCTACTTCTACTTGCTTGAGATCTACAGAGAGCTTCGCCATGAAATTTAGCACGTACGCCTCCATCAGCCTGGACATGGTCCTCATCCTGCTGGTCGTCACCCTCAACGGTTTCATCATAGATCTTCTCTGGAAGCATCACAGGAGGATCAAAGCTTCGTCCTCCATCGCAGGAAGTGGGTGGAATAAACATACGGCCCAGGCCACCAAAATCCTGCTTTCCTTGCTCTCCATTTATGTGGTTTGCTGGATCTCGAACGACGTGGTCTGGCTCACAATCGCCTTGGGGTACCAAAGGAACAACATGGAGAACAGCTTTTTGAGCGCCTTGTACGGCATGATCTCCTCCATATATTACTCAGCCAGCTCTTACGTGGTGGTGTTTGGGTACAAAAAGGTGCGCGAATATCTCGCCGAAACGTGCTTGTTCTTGAGATGTAGGAGGACCAGAACAGTTTGAGATGTCTCCTTGCAGGATGCGTTGCCCAGATGACAGAGAAGCTCTCATCAAAGAGGACAGCTCAATACTGTCGATCATAATTTTGTCCATCAGAGTGGACGGCTCAATCCCGTTGTTCATAATTTTGGTCCTGGGTGGAGAAAGCTACAACTTAGAAGAAACTGGGCCAGTACTGGAGCTGGTGTGACCTCTAAATCTCAACATTTCAACTTCTGGAACCCCTGTTCCTGGTGGTTGCATCTGGTGTCTACACGGACGACAAATGTCAGGAAGGAGAACGGTAGCCAGACAGACATGGTTGGGAAGGAGGAACTGCAACGTTGGGCTCTGCGTTCAGCTCTCGAAAATTATGGCACCTCAACTTCCATTTGAAGAAACCTCTCAGCTCGAAAAGGACAACTTTCCAACCAGGTAGTTAATACGATGATGGATTTTATAGAGGGAGAAACGGAGGCCCTGACAAGGGAGGCAGGGGTTTTAAAATGCCCACATGGAGGCTTATCTTCACATGGACCAGCTCCATGGCTATTTTGATCCAGAGAAAAGGAGAAGGAAGGGGAAAGTAAGTAAGAGGGAGGGAGCGGCAGGTGGGCCACAGAGAAATCCTCGCACGGGGGCAGCGGCGTGAGCCTTGTCCCGGGGCAGCATCACTGCAGACTGCGGCGCGATCCTTGCACCTGGGCAACATTGCTGCGGGCCGCGGCACGGTCCTAGCGTTGGTGGTAGCATCGCTGCGAGCCTGGCATTGGTGGCACAAGCCTCACACAGACGCCGCCGTCGCTGAGAGCCTTTTGCGCATGCTCGCAGACCCGTTTGCATGGTGCGCATGCTCACAGCCTTTTTGTATGTGCGCCTGCACGTGTGTCCACATTCATGCTTGCGCATGCGCATGTAAGGCGCCTGCCCCTCCCTCTCCCACCGGGCCGCCAATCCAAAAAGGTTGGAGACCCCTGCTCTAGACTAGCCATACCCAGTTCCTGCTACTGTTCTTCATGTGTTTTAGCCTCCAGGCCTTTAATCCTCCCAGTTGCTCTTCTCTGTACTTTTTCCCAAGTCTCGCCATCTTTTTTATAACGTTGTGGCGACCAAAACGGGATGCTGTGTTCCAGGCGTGTGGTCTCACTAAGGTTATTATAAAGGGGTACTGATACTTCACGGGATCCGCAAGAGTGCTCACGACCGCAAGGGAGATATATCCTTCCATCCTCCACCCTTTGGTCAGAGCTGAAGAAGCTTCTTGGATGAGAAGCGAAATGTCTTCAACGGAAAAAAAAGCAAAGTCCAGCTGTCTTTCGAAAAAGAACTTTGGAGACAACGGAGACAACGAACAGACGAGGATCTACCCAACCTTATCTGCAAATTAACATTTGCCATCCTTCTTCCTGCGGGCTCCCAGTGGCGCAAAACGTCAGCGTCCCCTCATCAGTGGCTCTATTGTAACACCATCACTTCAGGAGAAAAGAATAACTGTCAGATAGTCGTCTATTCTCAAGAAAGGCTAATTAGCATCGGCAAACAAAAAACGTGTTTCTTTTCCTTTGTTTGAGCGCGGCCCAGAGCTGAAGGCAGAATCAATACGTGTGGGTGCGTGGCTGGGCCTGCGTGCATGCGTTTCCGTGTGCGAGAGCGAGCGAATGTTTATACAGTCTATCTCTCAGCAGAGTTGCTAATGGTTTTCCTGACACTTCCAGCAGAGCTTTGAAAAAAAATCTCATTACGGGGGGGTGGGGGTCCTCGGCTTATGGCCCCAAGCGAGCCCAAGGTTTGTTGCTACCGTTAAGTGGGTTTTGCCCCATTTTACGAATTTCTCTCGCCACGTTTGTTCAGTAAATCCCTGCAATTGTTAAGTTAGTCCCAGCGTTGTTTAAGTGGATCCGGCTTGAAGGTCGCAAAAGGGAATCAAGTGATCCCCCCCGCCCCGGGACAGTGCAACTGTCATAAATACGAGTCAGTTACCAAATGCCTGAATTTTGATCACGTGGCCACTAGGATGCTGCAATGGTCCTAAGTGTGAAAAATGGGCATAATTCCATTTTTTCCACTGCTGTTGTAAACTTGGTCATTAAACAAACAGTTATTAAGTTGAAGACTGCCTGTACGATGGTTGTATTCATCACTGACCACAGGGAGGCTATTTCTACCTAAGATTTTGTCTCCATTTTTCCTTCAGGGGAAATATTCTATCCTGCCTCTTTTAATATTCCCCAAAATATTTCATTCTCCGAGGGGACGGGGGCGCTGACCTCCTATATCTCAATTGTGGTCGTAAGTTGTAACGCAAAGTTAGACGGTGCCTTTTCAGAGAGCAGAGGAGATCTTGAAGCTTCCAGCATGTTGCTGAAACAAAATTAACACCCAGAATCAGAATAGAGCTGGAAGGGACTTTGGAGGTCTTCTAGTCCAGCCCCCTGCTCAAGCAGGAGACCCTATACCATTTCAGACAAGCGGCTGTCCATTCTTTTCTTAAAAGCCTCTAGTGATGAAGCACCTGCAACTTCTGGTGGCAAGCAGTTCCACTGGTTAATTGTCCTCTCTGTTAGGAAGTTTCTCCTTAATTCCAGGTTGGATCTCTCTGCAAGTGGATAAAAGCCCTTAGTCACCCAACCGATTTGATCCCCACGGGTCTTTGGGATTAAAAAAAAACAACAGGAATCCATCAATCAGGAGCCAAGGTAACCCCATCTGGCATTATTGCCAAAGCAGAATAAACAGACTGAAATCCAGAAATGCAGTTTCATCTCCAGTCAGTCTCAGCTTGGGAAAGAACTATAAAATTGTAAGTGTTTCTCAAACTTCAGCAGCTATAAGATGTGTGGACTTCAACTCCCAGAATCCCCCAGCCATAGGCTGACTTAAACAGAGTGGAAAAATCCTCCAGTTCCTTTTAGTTGATCATCATAGCTGGTCACCACCATCTGGTGGAAAGGGAAAATTTTGCTGAGGGCACCGTAGAATAAAACTTAACCCTAGCTTGAGCATTGTTAGGCTATACTTAACAATACAAGAGTATCTTTCCATACTGGGACAGAAGACAAATAGCCGGCACTCTCATCTGGTCCACTGTCAGTTGTTAACTTGTCATCTGCACAAAGTCAAAGAGTGGATGTTTGCACTTCACAAAGGCTAAATTTTGCAAACCTAGCCGCCTCTCCATCCCATGGTAAGTAGAGGGACTAGTGGCTGTTCGGCAGGTGGTGTCTGGCGGGAAGAGAAGGAAAGAATGTCAGAAGAAGAAAAAAGAAATGGAAGAGATGGAGGGAGGGAGGGATGGGGAAAGAAGGAAGAAAGAAGAGAGGGAGGGAGGGAGGAAGGAGAGAGAAAGGGAGAGGATAGAAGGAAGAAGGGAGGGAAGGAAGGAAAGAAGGAACGAAAGAGGGAGAGAGGGAGGAAGAAGAGAAGAGGAAGAGAAGGAAGGGATATATGATGATGGATGGATAGAAGGGAAGAGAGGGGAGGTATATGATGGATGGATGATGGATGGATAAGTAGAAAAGGAAGGAAAGAAGGAAGGGGATATATGATGATGGTTGGATAGAAAGGAAGAGAGGGGAGGTATATGACGGATGGATGGATGGATGGATGGATAAGTAGAAAGGGGATATATGATGATGGATGGATAGAAGGGAAAAGGGGAGGTATATGATGGATGGATGGATAAGTAGAAA